GCTTATTAATGGAGGTAAAATGAAATAAAAATATATTGGAAATTGTTAGTTCTAAGCCATTTTTTTTTAATTCATTTTTATATATGATAAATATTGGATAAATACGCCTAAATACTTAAAAATTTTATTTTATTCTAATGAGCTCGTATTCTCGTTATCCATCCCTTATCTCTAGTTGCTACTATATTTTTAGTACACATTTTAAATAGAAATATTAAAATTTAATAATAAATATTGCACAAACTTTTTTTTTGATTTCTCATACTAAAAGCAAATTTATAAATTTATATAATTTATTTGTTCTTTTTATCCACTTATAATTAGTTAAATTTCCATAAATTAATATTCGATATTTTTGAAAAAAAAAAATAAATGATATAATAGATTAATAAATACTACAAATTAGAAGAAGTAATTATTTATTTTTTTATTAATTACTTTAAATTTATTTTTATTAACATAAAAAGTTTTTCAACTCTTCACTCTAATCTCATTAGATTCTTCATATTAATCCTTGGTATATTTACTTTATAATTATTATCTTCATATTTAACTATCAGTTCATTTTAAAATTTTATTTTTTTAATAAAAATAATGACCTATATTGCTTGCTATGATTTATTTACAAATGTTTTTTTAGTTAATTTTATTACCTATTTTAAATAATTTGATATTTTTTATTCATTTTTTCCTTCTAAAACTTTCCTTGATAAAAACAAACAGTTTATTTATTATTTTTGGATTTTAATATATTTAGTTATTAAATTGAATTCCAAACAACATACATAACTCTTTAAATTTGTTTATTAGCTTTTTATCTGATTTAATAATCTTTTTTTTATTGTGCTTGTGTTTATTTTTCTTCTGTCTCTATTAATTTAACATATTTATTTATTTTAAACATTTGCTTTTATTATTAATTTATTCATTCATTTCTTATTATTTCATATTATTTCTTCATTTTTTTCTTCAAAAAATTAATTAATTATATTTTGTTTCTTGAATATTTAAAAAGTGGATAATAAATAAGTGATTAAGATGCATTAGAATTAGGTTCTGCTTTAGCAAATTGCACAAATCTCTCAAATTTGACACTTATCCTTTAGTAAATTCAGTTTATTTGTTTTGGTTTGTGATATTTTTACTTACTTTTAAATTGAATTTAAAACATTAGAGCTCTTTTTATTTGTTTATTAACTTTTTATTTTATTTCATTTACTTTTCTTTTTACTTTTACTTGTGTTCATTTTTCTTCTATCTCTCTCTCTCTTAATTTACTCATTTTTTTATTTTCAACATTTGCTTTTATTATTTATTTATTAATTCATTTCTTATTAACTCAAATTTTTTCTTCATTTTTTTGTTATTATTAATTATAAATTTTTTTTAATATTAAAAAAGTAACATCAAAATTGGTGTAATAGGAGTAACAAGATTAGTTTCTGCTTTAGCAAATTGCACAAATCTCTCAAATTTGACACTTAATCTTGGGTAAATTAAGTTAATTTGTTTTGGATTGTTTTTTTACTAAAAAAATTGAATTTAAAACAATAAAGCTCTTTTAATTAAGTTTATTTTTAGTTGATTTGCTTTTCTTTTTCATTTTTATTGTACTTGTGTTTATTTTTCTTGTATCTCTCTTAAATTAAATCATTTTTTTATTTTCAACATTTGTTTATTTATTTATTAATTAATTCATTTCTTATTATTTCATATTTTTTCTTCATTTTTTTTTCTAAATAATTTATTAATTTATTTTTTCTTTAATATTTAAAAAGATCGAATATTGGTGATTAAGGTACATCAGACTTAGGTTATGCTTTAGCAAATTGCACTAATCTCTCATATTTAACACTTGATCTTAGGTAAATACAGTTTATTAGTTTTGGCTTGTGATATTTTTACTTATAAAATTGAATTTAAAACAGCATAGCTCATTTTATTTGTTTATTAGCTCTTTATTTGATTTAGTTTTTATTGTATTTGTGTTTATTTTTCATCTATCACATATATAAAAAAAGTGTAATCTGTCTGACCCCTTATTTTTAATAAAAATAATCCTGTCTCAGGCCATTAATGATCGGCGATGGATGATTTAATTTTTTCCAAAAGTCTGGAGACAGAATTCACTTTTTTCTATATATTATCTCGCTTAATTTAATTCATTATGTATTTTCAACATTTATTTTTATTATTTATTTAATTATTTTCTTATTATTTCTTATTTTTTCTTTTTTTTTCTTTTAAATAATTAATTTTTTATATATTTTCCCTCCAACATTAAAGCGATAATAAAATTTGTGCAATTGGTATATCATGTTTATGTTCTGCTTTAGTAAATTGCACTAATCTCTCAAATTTGACACTTGATCTTAGGTAAATTCAGTTTATTAGTTTTGGATTGTGATATTTTTACTTATAAAATTGAATTTAAAACCATAAATCTCTTTTTATTTGTTTATTAGCTTTTTATTTCATTTAATTTTCTTTTTCTTCTTTATTGTACTTGAGTTTATTTTTCTTCTACTGTATGTATATCTTTTAATTTAACTCATTTTTTTATGTTCAACATTTGCTTTTATATTATCATTTCTTGTTATTTCATATTTTTTTCTTCATTATTGTTCTAAATAGTTAATTAATTATATCTATTTTCTTAAATATTTAAAAAGTGACAATAAAATTGGTTCAATAGGTGCATAAGGCTTATGCCGTGCTTTAGCAAATTGCAAAAATCTCTCAAATTTTACACTTTCTCTTCAGTAAATTCAGTTTATTTTTATTAGATTGTGATATTATTTTTATTTATAAAATTGAATTTAAAACAAAAAAAATTTTTATTTCATTTACTTTTCTTTTTTATTGTAGTTTTGTTTATTTTTCTTATATCTCTCTTAATTTAACTCATTTTTTATTTTATTTATTAATTTATTTCTAATTATTTTATATTTTTTCTTCATTTTTTCCTTTTAATAATTAATTAATTAATTATATTTTTTTTTCAACTTTTAAAAGATAGAATTAAATTGGCGATTAAGGCTCATTAGCCTTAGGTTCTGATTTATAAAATTACTCTAATATCTCAAATTTGTCACTTAATCTTTCGTAAATTAAGTTTATTTGTTTTGGGTTATGATATTTTTACTTATCATATCTAATTTAAAACAATAGAGCTCTTTAAATTTTTTAATTACTTTTTATTTCATTTACTACTCTTTTTCTTTTATATTATACTTAACTTTATTTTTCTTCTATCACTTTTAATTTAAATTATTTTTTTTTCAGCATTTTCTATTATTATTTTTTTATTTACTTCTTATTATTTCAAATATTTTTTTCATTTTTGTTCTAAATAATTTATTTTTTTTCAATATTTAAAAAGATCCAATTAAATTTCTGATAAAGGAGTATCTGGATTAGGTTCTGCTTTATCAAATTGCACTTATCTCTCAAGTTTGAAACTTGATCTTAGGTAAATTCAGTTTATTAGTTTTGGATTGTGATATTTTTACTTATACAACTGAATTTAAAAAGATGTAGCTATTTTAATTTGTTAATTAACTTTTTATTTGATTTATTTATCTTTTTCTTTTTTATTTCACTTGTGTTTTTTTTATTCTCTCTTTTTTAATTTTGCCCATTTTTTTTATTTTTCAACATTTATTTTTTTATTTATTAATTCTTTTCTTATTATTTCATATTTATTTTTCATTTCTTTTTCCTTCTAAATTAATTAATTGTATATATATTTTTCCTCATTAAAGTGACAATAAAGTTGGTGCATTAGGTATATCATGCTTATGCTCTGCTTTAGCAAATTGCATTAATCTCTCAAATTTGACACTTGATTTTAGGTAAATTCAGTTTATTAGTTTTTAATTGTAATATTTATACTTACTTATAAAATTGAATTAAAAACTATATTAGTTCTTTAATTTGTTTATTAGCTTTTTATTTGATTTACTTTTCTTTTTGTTTTTTATTGTACTTGTTTGTGTTAATTTTTCTTGTATCTCCCATAACTTAACTCATTCATTTTTTTATTTTTACATTTGTTTTTATTATTTATTAATTCATTTCTATTTTCTTCATATTTACTTCATTTTTTCATTCCTAATAACTAATTAATTAATTATACTTTTTTCTTCAATATTTAAAAAGTATCAATAAAATTGGGGTAAATGTTGCATCAGGCTTATGTTCTAGTTTAGGAAATTGCACTAATCTCTCAAGCTTGACACTTGATCTTAGGTAAATTCAGTTTATTAGTTTTGGATTGTGATGTTTTTACTTAAATTTGAATTAAAAACTATATAGAATTTGTTAATAGGCCTATTATTTGATTTACTTTTATTTTTCATTTTTATTGTACTTATGTTTATTTTTCTTGTCTTTCTTAATTTAAATCATTTTTATATTTTCAGCATTTACATTAATTATTTAATAATTCATTTCTTAATATATTTTTTCTTCATTTTTTCCTTCTAATTTTTAATTAATTAATTAACTATATTTTTTTCTTCAATATTAAAAAAGTGACAATAAAATTGGTGCAATTGGTGTATTAGGCTTATGTTCTGCTTTAGCAAATTGCACAAATATCTCAAAATTGAAACTTACTCTTTAGTAAATTCAGTTTATTTGTTTTTGATTGTGATATTTTTACTTATAAAATTGAATTTAAAACAATGAAGCTTTTTTAATTTATTTATTAGCTTTTTATTTTTTTTTAGTTTTCTTTTTTTTTAATTGTATTTATTTTTTTTATCTCTCTTAATTTAACTCATTTTTTTATTTTCTACAATTAATTTTATTATTTATTAATCCATTTCTTATTATTTCATATTTTTTCTTCATTTTTTTATTCTTAATAACTAATTACTTACTATTTTTTTTCAATATTTAAAAAGAAACAGTAACATTGGTGATTAAGATGTATCAGGCTTAGGTTGTGCTTTAGCAAACTGCATTAATCTCTCAAATTTGATACTTGATCTTAGGTATATTCAGTTTATTAGTTTTGCATTGTGATTTTTATACTTATAAAATTGAATTAAAAAAAAATATTAGTTCTTGCTTTTTATTTGACTTACATTTCTTTTTTATTTAATATTTTTGTTAAATTTTCTACTATCTTTCTTAATTTAACTCATTAATTTTTTTATTTTCAGCCTTTGCTTTTATTATTTAGTCATTTCTTATTGTTTCATATTTTTTCTTCATTTTTTCATTCTTAATAACTTTAATAACTGATTAATTTCACATTTTTTCTTCATTAAAAAGTTGCAATTAAATTGGTAATTAAGTTGCATCAGACTTAGGTTCTGCTTTAGCAAATTGTACTAATCTCTCGTATTTGGAACTTAATTTTTGGTAAATTAATTTATTTGTTTTGGATTGTTATATTTTTACTAAGAAAATTTAATTTAAAATAATATAGCATTTTTAATTTGCTTGCTTATTAGCTTTTTATTAATTTTTTTTGTTTTTTATTCAGCTAAATCTTTTTTTATTTATTAATTTTAAATATAATTTTTAATTAATAAAATTTTATTCTATTTAATTTGTTTAAGTATTTTATTTATTAAAATATAAAAGTAAAAACTAAATCTATAAAAAATATCAATTGAAAGTGAAAAGCAAGTTTATTAAATTAAAAAGATTAGTTGACTTTAAATTAAAGTTCTGATGATAGACAAACAGTGAAAATAATAAAATATTTGAATAATAGAAAATAATATTTTCTATTACATAATATTTTGTAATATGATAATTTAACCTAAAATATACATAGATTCATTATTTATTTATGAATATTAATTATATTTCGGTAAATTAATAAATAACTTATGTAATTATAATTATTTTTTGTTAATGTGAATATTTAAATTAAATTTATAAATTTATGATAGTATTTTTTTAAAAAAATTTTAAATCTTTTTGTATTTCATAATTTTCAATTAAACTCAAATTATATAAATATTTTAAGGATTCACAATACAATATAATTATAATATACTTTTCAAAGATAAACAATAACTAATTATATTGTAAAAAAAGGGATTTTTAATTTCCGTATTTTGGTTAAATTTAATCTTGATATAGCTATTTATGATATATTATATTTTTCAGATAATTTTTATGTTAATTGGCTTTAATAATTTATTAAATATAATAATAAATCCTATTATTAAAATATTTTTAATGTTTAATTAAAAACAGGTAATTATTAATCCAGAATCAATAGTTATGATGTCCAGATATTTTATATAGATGAAGGTGATATGAATGAATATGAAAAATAAGATTATTATTAACATTTTGGTGATTATTGCGAAATTAATCATAATCTTGAAAATTATTCGACTAAACATTTAAAAGTGATAAAGATGAAGATAAAGATTAAAAAAAATGAAATATGATTTTAATCTATTTTCAAATTTTTTTGGAAATAAAATTATTTTGTAATTATAAATTAAATTTATTGAGAGAAAAGTAATTATATACATAGATAAGTAAATAATCTGACTACTTTATATTTATTAAATATTATAGTTTTTTGGGGCATATTTAGTGCAATATTGGCAGATTCAAATAATAGTATTTCTAAATTAAATAAATTCATCACAGAGTATGTTTTAAAAATAAAATTATTTTAAAGATGATCTACCTGTGATTAGGATTTAAACAAAGTTTTAAGTTATAAATCAAATTATAATTAATAACCATGATATAATTAATCAATAAATTAATATAAAAAAAACAATATTAAAAAGTATATTTTTTTTATGACATATTTATGAAGAATTTAATTCTTAATTTATAAAATTAATAAATTTCAGTTTTTATATTTAACTTTTAGTTGATTGTCATTTTATAGTTATCTATTTTATAAGTTAAAATAAGTCAATTTTTTTATAAAATTTACTAATTATATTATACCATTGCTTGTATTTATTTTTCTAATGAATTCTTCAATTAAATATGCGAATCATCATCTAAAATTTAAAATTAAAAGTTATAATTTTAAAAAATAAAATTTTAAATTAATCTAAAATTTTGAAATAAACAAATAATTATTTTGTTAGATGTAAGATTACAACTAAGAATTTTTAAATATATTAACATCAGAAAAAATATTGAAAGTCATAATGTTTAATAAATATAATTATGTTTTAAATAAATCTAATAACTATAAATATGGGTAATTATTAGAGTTGATCGATATTTACAATTTTTTCTATCGATCGATATCTATTTTTCCAAAAATATAAGATCTTCATTCAAAAATGAAGACCTTCTCCGCTGTGACCCCCCTCCCTTATTTATAATTATTTATTCTTTTTTTTAAATATGCCAAATAAAATTTATAGTTTGGGTATTTTTAGACTTAAACTATTTTTATCTTAATTTTATTTTTTTAAATGTATATTTTATTTAAGTTGTAGCAGTGATAATGAAAGTTCATTTAAAATAAAATAGTAAATTTACAAGATGCTCACTATTGATTTTATGATTTTTGATTAATTTTAGCATATGTGCACAGTGCATTATGTGTGTATGCTATACATAGTATTATAAAAAATGTTGGCTTTCGTTAGTATTTTATCTGTGTTGTGATAAGTAAGTAAGGAAATTCGTTATATTTTATTTTGTTAGTAAGTAAATAAGCAAGTTAGTTAGTAAATGACAAGTTTGCTTAATTAGCTAATAACTAAACGAAAAACATAAAATAATTAATTCTCAATTATTAGTTTATCTATCAATAAATTTAATTTTTACTATAAATGAAGCTTCGGAGTTATGATATTCTTGCACTAGGCTATTGCTGTGGCTAAAACTTTTGCACACTATACACCAATATTATTCTCTCTTTAAATTTAAGAAAAAATAACGAATTAAATAAATAAATATGGAGGATAAAGGATAGTAAAAAAACAATGGCTTTCGTTAGTATTTTAGTTGTGTTGTTATGATTAAGTAAAGAAATTCGACATATTTTATTTTGTTAGTAAGTAAATAAGCAAGTTAGTTAGTAAATGACAAGTTTGCTTAATTAGCAAATAACTAAGTCAAAAACTTAAAATAATAAATTCTCAATTATCAGTTTATCAATCAATAAATTTAATTTTTACTTTAAATTAAGTGTCAAAGTTGTGATATTTTTGCACTAGGCTATTTCTGCTCCTAAATCTTTTGCACCCTCATCACCAATTTTATTCTTACTTTAAATATAAGAAAAATAACAAATTAAATAAATAAATATGGAGGAGAAACAATAGTAAAAAAATGATGGCTTTCGTTAGTATTTTAGTTGCATTATGTTGAGTAAGTAAAGAAATTTGTTATATTTTATTTGGTTAGTAAGTAAATAAGCAAGTTAGTTAGTTAGTAAATTATTAGCTGGCTTAATTAGCTAATGAATAAGTCAAAAACTTAAAATAATCAATTCTTAATTATTAGTTTATAAATCAATAAATTTAATATTTACTATAAATCAAGCATCAAAGTTATGATATTCTTGCAATTAGCTATTCCTGTGCCTAAATCTTTTGCACCCTATGCACCAATATTATTCTCTCTTTAAATATAAGAAAAAATAACGAATTAAATAAATAAATATGGAGGAGAAAGGATGGTAAAAAAACGGTAATTCACGTGGCAAGCGCACACTCGTGCGCATGTGCGCTCGCCATGTGAGAATCCTAAAAAAACGATAGCTTTCGTTAGTATTTTAGTAGTTTTGTTATGAGTAAGTAAATAAATTCATTATATTTTATTTGGTTAGTAAGTAAAAAAGCAAGTTAGTTAGTTAGTAAATTATTAGCTGACTTAATTAGCTAATGAATAAATCAAAAACTTAAAATAATCAAGTCTTAATTATTAGTTTATAAATCAATAAATTTAATTTATACTATAAATCAAGCGTCAAAGTTGTGATATTCTTGCACTAGGCTATTCCTGTGCCTAAATCTTTTGCATCCTATGCGCCAATATTATTCTCTCTTTAAATATAAAAATAAATAACGAATTAAATAAATAAATATGGAGGAGAAAGGATGGTAAAAAATGATAGCTTTCATTAGTATTTTAGTTGTGTTGTGATGCGTAAGAAAAGAAATTTGTTATATTTTATTTGGTTAGTAAGTAAATAAGCAAGCTAGTTAGTAAATGATAAGCTAGCTTAATTAGCTAATAACTAAGTAAAAAGCTTAAAATAATCAATTCTCAATTATTAGTTTATCGATAAATAATTTAATTTTTACTTTAAATTAAGCGTCAAAGTTGTGATATTCTTGCACAAGGCTATTCCTGTAACTTATTCTTTTGTACTCTTACCACCAATTTTATTCAAACTTTAAATTATAACAAATTAAATAAATAAGGAGAAGAATGCAAGGTAAAAAAACAATGGCTTTCGTTAGTATTTTAGTTGTGTTGTGATGAGTAAGTAAAGAAATTCGTTATATTTTATTTGGTTAGTAAGTAAGTAAGTAAATAAGCAAGTTAGTTAGTAAATGATAAGCTGGCTTAATTAGCTAATAACTTTGTTAAAAACTATAAATAATCAATTCTCAATTATTAGTTTATCAATCAATAAATTTAATTTTTACTATAAATCAAGCGTCAAAGTTATGATATTCTTGCACTAAGCTATTGCAGTGCCTAAATCTTTTGCACCCTATGCACCAATATTATTATCTCTTTAAATTTAAGAATAAATAAAAAATTAAATAAATAAATATCGAGGAGAAAGGATGGTAAAAATGTCTTTCGTTTGTTTGTATTTTAGTTATGTTGTTTGTGATCAGTAAGTTATGAAATTCGTTATATTTTATTTGATTAATCAGTAAATAAGCAAATTATTTAGTAAATGATAAGCTGGCTTAATTAGCTAATAACTAAGTCAAAAACATAAAATAATCTATTCTCAATTATTAGTTTATCAATCAATCAATATATTTAATTTTTACTATAAAAAAAGTGTCAAAATTTTGATATTCTAGCACTAGGCTATTCCTATGCCTAAACCTTTTGCACCCTCCTCACCAATATTATTCTTACTTTAAATATAAGAAAATATAACAAATTAATTAAATATGGAGGAGAAATGATGGTAAAAAAACGATGGCTTTCGTTAGTATTTTAGTTTTGTTGTGATTATTAACAAAAGAAATTTATTATATTTTATTTGGTTAGTAAGTAATTAAATAAGCAAGTTAGTTAGTTGATGAAAAGCTAACTTAATTAGCTAATAACTAAGTATTAGTTTATTAATATATAATTTAATTTTTACTTTAAATCAAGCGTCAAAGTTGTGATATTCTTGCACAAGGCTATGCTTGTGCCTAACTATTTTGCACCCTATGCACCAATTTTATTCCAACTTTAAATATAATAATAAATAACGAATTGAATAAATAAATATGGAGGAGAAAGGATGGTAAAAAAACGATGGCTTTCTTTAGTATTTTAGTTTTGTTGTGATCATTAACTAAAGAAATTCGTTTTATTTTATTTGTTTAGTAAGTAAGTAAATAAGTTAGTTAGTTAATGACAAGCTGGCTTAATTAGCTATTAAATAATTCAAAAACTTAAAATATTCAACTCTCAATTATTAGTTTATTAATAAATAATTTAATTTTTACTTTAAACCAAGAGTCAAAGTTGTTATTTTCTGGCACTAGGCTATTTCTGTGCCTAAATCTTTTGCACCCTATTCACCAATATTATTCTCTCTTTTAATATAAGAAAAAATAACAAGTTAAATAAATAAATATAGAGGAGTAAAGATGGTAAATATTTTATTTGGTTATTAAGTAAGTAAATGAGCAAGTTAGTTAGTAAATGATAAGCTGGCTTAATAAACTAATAACTAAATAAAAAGTTTAAAATAATTAATTCTCAATTATTAGTTTATCAATCAATCAATCAATAAATTTAATTTTTACTTTAAATCAAGCGTCAAAGTTGTGATATTCTTGTACTTGGCTATTTCATTGCCTAAATTTTTTACACCATCATCACCAATATTATTCTAACTTTAAATATAAAAATAATTAACTAATTAAATAAATAAATAAATAATGAGTAGAAAGGATGGTAAATAAACGATAGCTTTCATTAGTATTTTAGTTGTGTTGTGATGAGTAAGTAAAGAAATTCGTTATATTTTATTTTTTTAGTGAGTAAATAAGTAAATTAGTTAGTAAATGACAAGCTAGCTTAATTAGCTAATCACTAAATTAAAAACTATAAATAATCAATTCTCAATTATTAGTTTATCAATCAATCAATAAATTTAATTTTTACTTTAAATCAAGCTTCAAAGTTGTGATATTCTTGCACTAGGCTATTGCAGTGCCTAAATCTTTTGCACCCTATGCACCAATATTATTATCTCTTTAAATATAAGAATAAATAAAAAATTAAATAAATAAATATCTAGGAGAAAGGATGGTAAATAAACGATAGCTTTAGTTAGTATTTTAGTTGTGTTGCGATGAGTAAGTAAAGAAATTCGTTATATTTTATTTGGTTAGTAAGTAAATAAGCAAGTTAGTTAGTAAATGACAAGCTTGCTTAATTAGCTAATAAATAAGTTAAAAACTATAAATAATCAATTCTCAATTATTAGTTTATCAATCAATCAATAAATTTAATTTTTACTTTAAATCAAGGGTCAAAGTTGTGATCTTCTTGCATTAGGCTATTCCTGTACCTAAATTTTTTGCACCCTGTGCACCAATATTATTCCAACTTTAATTATAAGAATAAATAACGAATTAAAAAAATAAATATGGAGGAGAAAGGATGGTAAAAAAACAATGGCTTTTGTTATTATTTTAGTTGTGTTGTGATCAGTAAGTAAAATAATTCGTTGTATTGTATTTAGTTAGTAAGTAAATAATCAAGTTAATCAGTAAATGAAAAGCTGGCTTAATTAGCTAATAACTAAGTTAAAAACTATAAATAATCAATTCTCAATTATTAGTTTATCAATCAATCAATAAATTTAATTTTTACTTTAAATCAAGGGTCAAAGTTGTGATCTTCTTGCACTTGGCTATTTCTTTACCTAAATCTTTTACACCATCATCACAAATATTATTCTAACTTTAAATATAAGAATAATTAACGAATTAAATAAATAAATATGGAGGAGAAAGGATGGTAAATAAACGATAGCTTTCGTTAGTATTTTAGTTGTGTTGTGATGAGTAAGTAAAGAAATTTGTTATAATTTATTTGGTTAGTAAGTAAATAAGCAAGTTAGTTAGTAAATGATAAGCTGACTTAATTAACTAATAACTAAGTAAAAAGCTTAAAATAATCAAGTTCGCACATAGGTTGCGATCACTGCGATCAGCGATCATGATCGAAGCTATAGTTTTCTTTAAAATGCGATCAAAATAATTTTGATTTTCTTTTTTAATAAGGTTATAATCGCAACAAAAGAATGCTGACTAGTTCCCAAACTACGACTGGGAACTAATTTATTATAGTGCCCAGTGCCTGCTGTTCCCTTACCGTGCAATATTACCCGATCTGCGATCATTGATCGCAAAATAAAAAATTAAAACTTGAAGCGCTCAATTTTTTTGATCGCAGTAGCAGTGATCGCAATTTAGCGGAAAGACCAAAATAATCAATTCTCAATTATTAGTTTATCAATAAATAAATATAATTTTTACTATAAATTAAGCCTCAATGTTGTGATATACTTGCACTAGGCTATTTCTGAGCCTAAATCTTTTGCACCCTATGCACCAATATTATTCTTACTTTAAATATAAGAATAAATACCAAATTAAATATGGAAGAGAAAGGATGGTAAAAAAAGGATAGCTTTAGTGAGTATTTTAGTAGTTTTCTTTTTAGTAATTAAAGAAATTTGTTTTATTTTATTTGATTAGTAAGTAAATAAGCAATTTAGTTAGTTAATGATAAGCTGGCTTAATTAACTAATAACTAAGTAAAAAGCTTAAAATAATCTATTCTCAATTATTAGTTTATCAATCAATCAATTTAATTTTTACTTTAAATCAAGCGTCAAAGTTGCGATATTCTAGCACTTGGCTATTCCTGTGCCTAAATGTTTTGCACCCTATGCACCAATATTATTCCAACTTTAAATATAAGAATAAATAACGAATTAAATAAATAAAATGTAGGAGAAAGGATGGTAAAAAAACGATGGTTTTCGTTAGTATTTTAGTTGTGTTGTGAACAGTAAGTAAAGAAATTCGTTATATTTTATTTAGATAGTAAGTAAGTAAATAAGCAAGTTAGTCAATAAATGACAAGCTGGCTTAATTAGCTAATAACTAAGTTAAAAACTAAAAATAATCAATTTTCAATTATTAGTTTATCAATCAATAAATTTAATTTTTACTTTAAATCAAGCGTCAAAGTTGTGATATTCTAGCACTTGGCTATTCCTGTGCCTAAATGTTTTGCACCCTACTCACCAATATTTTTATCTCTTTAAATATAAGAAATAACAACGAATTAAATAAATAAATATGGAGGAGAAAGGATGGTAAAAAGAGGATGGCTTTCGTTAGTATTTTAGTTGTGTTGTGATGATTAAGTAAACAAATTCGTTATATTTTATTTAGTTATTAAGTAAGTAATTAAATAAGCAAGTTAGTTAGTAAATGACAATATGACTTAATTGGTTAATAACTAAGTCAAAAGCTTAAAAAAATCAATTCTCAATTATTAGTTTATCAATCAATCAATAAATTTAATTTTTACTATAAATTAATTGTCAATGTTGTGATTTACTGGCACTAGGCTATTCCTGCGCCTAAATCTTTTGCACCCTCATCATCAATTATATTCCAACTTTAAATATAAGAATAAATAACGAATTAAATAAATAAATATGGAGGAGAAAGGATGGTAAAAAAATGATGGCTTTAGTTAGTATTTTAGTTGTGTTGTGATGAGTAAGTAAATAAACAATTTAATAAATTTCAAGCAGAATTATGAGTAAGAGAATTTTTATATTACAATTCTAAAACTAAGTTTTTACTTTCAATTTTCTCTTAAAATGTATTTAATAAGTGCGTTGTTTTTTAATATTTATAAAATTATTTTAACCAATTTTTAACAAGAAAAATTAAGAAATAAATTCCAAACAATTTTCAAAACCACTAGCCCCACTTGATATAAAAAAAAGAAAATAATAAAAAATAAATTAATTTCCAAAGAGAATAAAAAAAATAAGAAATTACTTTTAATCTAAATTTAAATAAGTCGCATTTTAAAACTTTTCTAAAAAAGTGTTCACTTTCTTTTCATTTACTTTATTATCGCTTTACAAATAAATTAAAAATAACTGTTAAAAAACATCAAACATATAAAGCTAGAAAGCTAGCAAATAAATGCAAAAAGTGAATTAATCAGAAGATTTAAAAGAATTTTTTATGTTTAATGAAATAAAAAGGATTATCAACTTAAAAATATTACGTTAATTAAAGATACAAATAACTAACATTTGAGATGTTTTGAATATCATCTATAAAAGTATCCCCTTCTACTTTTGTCAATGTTTTGAGGCTAAATTAATGAAATAATATAACTAAGTACAATTAATAAATAATTTTTGTGTAGTTAAAATAATTTACATTACTTACCTGTAAAACAGATTTATTTTAAATTTCAAAATGAATAATATATCATTTTTATTATATAAAAGCTAAATAATTTATCTTTATTTTAAAGTGTAAATAAATATCTTAAAGAAAATTGAATACTTATTGATTTCTATAAAAATCATTAATTAAGATAATTACCTTAAATTTAAATTAGATCTATGACCCTATTAAAGAAGACATGGTTAAGTGTTTATAGATCCATTTTTATTTTCTATCATTAACTCTTCTTTACTGTAAATTTTGATTTTTGTGAATTATTTAAAGAAATTATCAATTTAAGGTAAGATATCTTCTTCAATCATATTTTTTCTATTATAACTAAATTATTTTATTTATTTAGATAAATCTGTTCAACAAATTATAATTTTATAATTAAATTATTTAAAGTAAGTTACTCCCAATAAATATTTAATTCAGTAGGAATTTCACTATTTAACTATATTTCTTTGATTACATTAGCAAATTAATCATTTTCAAGCTCACAACTATTTAAAAATTTATTTTTAAAATATTTTTTATCATTTATTTTAAAAGTTTTACTTGAAGTAAAAAAAGATAACATAAATAGACCAATCTTATTTTACTTATTTTTCAACTTTTTTTCTGTCAACTACTACGTCTGTTTACTTTTATATTTATAAATTAAATTAATTTTTATTTATTAAAACTTAGAAATATTTTATGATTGATTATTAGAAGAATATAAACATTTATTTGTAAGAAATATTATTAAATCAACAAAAATTAAATTTCGAAAATTATTTCAGATATTTACAGATAAATATGAGGTGAGATAGTGATTAATTTCAAATCCTATTTCCTTAATAAAATTGAGATCTATTTTACTTTTAATTTTAAATAACTAATCACTGAATTGTGAATGGATTAAATAACAATCATCTCTTTAGTTAATGTCTTCTTAGACCATACTTTTTTTCACAATATCTTAGATAGATTTGGCAAATTTTATGAATTTGCTTTAGCCATTAAGCTCTTTAAATCTCTCTATAACTTTTAAGAGAGTTTTTCCTAATGAGTATACATCAGATTTATAACTTATTTTATTTACATCTTAATTCCTCTATTCTTGTGATGAATAATTATCTGTCTTTCCTCTAATTTACATATTGCCTTCCTAATAAATTTCAGAAATTCCAAAATCGGTATAAATATAGTTTCCTCTATTATCAACTAAAATATTTTTTGGTTTTATATCTAGATGCAAAATGTTTTTATTTTTCAAGTCTATTAATCCATGGATTAGATTAAAAATCATCTTTATTAAATTTTGCTCTGTAAATATATTTTTGTCTTTGTTGAAATTTTCTAACTCTTATTGCAAATTTTTTTAGAATTTTTCATGAATAAATATATGTAAATTGTCATATATTTTTATGTGGTCAATCAATTATAAAAAATTTTTTTCATCTTTTAATATGTCAAAAATTTTCTTTTGCATGTCAATAGTTTAATTCATTTATACATAAATTATTTTTATTATAACATTTTTATTGATTATATCTTCATAAATAAAGGACTCACCACCTTATTCAATACAAGAACCTAAAGCATAATTTTTTTCTTTTTTTTTTAGTTCATCATTAATTTATTCTACAGAATAAATTTATTATTGAGAAAATTACTCTTATTAAGAGATTTCTATCTAATGTAAAGAGCCAAATTCAATTATTTATGGTTTATTGCTGGAATGAGAAGAGGAAGATTTATAAAATATTGATTTAGGTGTTTTATTTTAATAATGAGATAACTAACTTTAAGAATTTTATGCTTTTTCATACGAAACTAGGCTAATTCTATATACCTAAAAGCTAATGACTCTTTCTAAAGATTCTTAATTTTAACTTGAATAACTTTGTTAAGATATTATTATTGATGGATCTTAATTTGGATGGTAGTAACATCTTTCTTCTTTTATATAAATTGGTTAATTATTCATCATACAAAAGATGGACTTTTAATTTAAAATAGAATTATTTAAAAATAAATATATTTAAAAGTAGATTTAAATCATTTTTTAATATTCTAAAAAATTAAATTTACTTTATCTTATAAAACGTCTTTTTTTACCAGAATATATTTTATCTTTACTTTTTACTTATTAATTAACTAATTTATTTAATACCTAAATTTTATGACTTCAATCAATTAATAAATAAATCTTTCAATTGACTCCTTTAATATTAATTAATTAAATCAATGATTATTTTAACCTTTTACATTGAAAATATTAACTACATATAATATACTCTTCTATATTTATTTAATATTGTCCTAATAAATTTTATTTATTTATTTTATTTTAATTCATGTATTTTTATTTTCAGATTTATCTTTTGTTTAAATAATTTAAATTCAACAAGAAGCTTTTTTTTTTTATAAAAAATTTATTAAAAATTTGAGATATTTATTTTAAATATTTTTACGAAATGTCAATTGTTAAATTAGAAAGTTTAGCACATTTTGATAAGGTAAAACCTAAATTGTTTGCACCCAAATCACCAATTAAATTGTTTCTTTAATTAGTTAATAAATATTTATTCTTTAAATCAAAAAATTAAGATGAAAAAAACCATAAAATAAATAAATTAATTAATGAGGAAATTGTCTAAAAATAAATCACTGTTTATAAGAGATAAAAATTATAACAATTTTATTTATTCTCTGAAATATTTATATCTTATTAAATTAAATAATAAGATGAAAATATAGACTATTTTTACCTAAGGTTTAGATGCAAAAATGAGAGTTTAGAGCACATTACTAAACCAGAACCTAAATCTGAAGCACCATATGCAGTAATTTGATTACTTCTTTTATATTTTTAATAAAATTATTTATGCAACTTCAAAGAGATGTAAAAATAGTTAAATAAAAAAGATCATTTTAAAATATTATTCTAATTTTAAATTTAATAAGAATAAAAAATTAGCTAAGTAAATCAATTAGCTAAATCTATAAAAGATTTTCATTACACATTGATTATATAAACAAAAATATTATTTTTCTTGTATTTTCTATCAAAATAAAAAATAAATAAACAATTTATACTCTAGGAAAAGAGACAAATTTTAGAGTTATGTGCCCTTTGCTAGAGCAAAACCTAAGATAGACGAACCTTTATCACCAAATTGACTTCCACTTTTAAAATTTTGAGAAAAATATTATAAAGAAAGTAAGTAAAGCAGATAAAAGAATTATTTGAAAATTGAAAAATTCAGACGAAACAAATAAAAATAAGCAAAAAAGAAGTCAAAATGAATTTTTAATTTTTTTTCAAAAATCATAAAAATAAAAAAAGAAATTCGTTTACGTAAATTGGAGTACCAAAGTAGAAAGTTAAGTGCAATTTGCTAACCAAGGTCCTAAATTTAATATACACAGTGAACCAATTTTAATCCATCTATATAATTTATTGATAGAAATTAGAAATTATGAGTAAATATTCAAAAAAAATGATATTCAAAAAATATTATTAATACAAAATAAGATACTAAATTTAATAAAGAAAAAATTTCATAAATAAACAATTAGGCTCAATTTTTAAATTAAACAAACAATTAAATAATTTTCTTATTATTTTAATTATTATTGATGAATATTAAGATATTAAATTTTTATTAATTTTATTTATTCAAATAAATGTCAAAAAACATAAAAAGAATTTACCTTAGGTTTAGAGTTAAAGATGACAGATTACAACATTTTGATATTGCAGAACCTAAGTTTGATATAATCTAAGCATCAATTTGATTGCCTCTGATATATTTTTTAAATATTATTTTGTAAGTTACTCTAAAAAATGAAGTTGTTAAGCAGAAAAATAAAATTTTCAATTTTAAAATAAAGTTTAGTATGAAAATATTCAAAGCAATAAGATAAAGATAATTTGTTTTATAAATTTTGGTAATGGAAATAAAAAGCATTAATATATAATATAATAAATTATTATTACTCAAGATCAACAGTTAAATTTAACAGATTGCTACACATCGCTAAAGAAGAATCTAAGTCTGATGCATCTTCAAAATCATAATATTCTCTTTAGAGTTTTTAAGAAAATTTTTTAGTTTTTAAAAAAATAATAATAAAAATAAAGAAGAAAATTAATTTTTAAAAAATAATAATTTTTATTTTTTAAGTTAAAAATTATTAAAATATGTTGATAAATTATATCATAATAAATAAAGTATTTAAAATATTTTGCTAACCTTAAATTAAGAATCAGAGTTTAAAGTTTAGATTTTTTTGGTATTGCAGAACTTAATTTTGACGTGCCTTTTATTGAGTTAATATTCTTCCTTTAATAATTTTGAAAAAAATTTTATTTAAATGAAAAAAATTCAAACTTGATTTAGATTGTAAATCAATTTAAATTAGGTTTTTATTTTATTAGATTTATTTTTTAAATAGGATTTTGTTGATTTATATGAAAAATTTATTTTAAAAATTTGTTAGATGAAATTAATCATTTTAATAAATAGATTAATAAAATCAAAATAAAAATTCAAAAAATTTAATGAAATAAATAATCATTATAAAAACTAATTTACTTACTTACAAAATATAATAAATGAAAAAAAATTATTATTTTACTCATGCAAATTAAGCAAAATATCAATAAAAATAGATAAAAGACTTTACCAAACAAATTATAATAACAAAGTTGATAGACTATCACATTTTGCTAAAGCAGAGCTTAAGCGTTTTGCAGCCTTATCACTAATATATTCAATACTATTTACATAGAAATTATTATATAAATTTAACGCTAAAAATAATTTTTAATAAAATGTTAGAAAAAAATAAATAAATACAAAATGATTAAAAATAAATAAACTTTTTTTACTTGAGCTGAAGTGTTAAAGTGGTTAAATTAGTACATTTTTTGATGCCCGAGCTTAGGCTTTTTACTTCTTCATCTTTGATAATATATTCTCTTTTTATTTTTTTTGAGTGAATCAGTTTATTTCAATAAAAAAAGCCAAATTTTTAAAAACAAATAAATTATAAAAAATAATGAAATTCTAAAGTTGATTTAAAAAAATTAAAAATAAATTAAATTAATGAATCTTCATGATCAAAACAATATAAATTATAAAACCAAGTAATCATAACTAAAATGATAAATAAATTTAATATTGAAATTATTAATAAGATTTTAAATAATAAAATGCTTAACTATTTTTTACCTTAAATCAATTTGAAGGAGAGTATGAGATAAAAGATTAGAGCTTAAAAACTTTTATTAAGAATTATTGTAATAAATAATATTATATAAATCATAATTAATTACATTTTTTAATCTACTAAAATAATTTTTGTTCTGTTCTATCATTTTTTTAATTTTGACTTTTTTGTTTTTTGTTTAATTTAAAATAATAAAGCTTATTTAAATATTTGATTTTTATAGTGATTGAAAACAAATTTTTAAATAAATCATTAATTTTTATAAAAACTTGATTTTTGAAAAAAAGTAAGTTCTTAAAAAATTAGGTGAAAGCTAGACCTCACTTTTCCCTTTATATTATGGATAGATATAATTATTATTTATACATTATAAAATAATATGATAAAATTATATTTATTTAATAATTCTATGTGTTAGTTGTAAAATAAACTACTAAGTTTGTTTATACTTGTTATATATGAATGAATGTATGAATATCTATTATTTTTAATATGTACTTCCGTAAATTTATTATCTTTATAATCATTAATTTTTTAACATAAACATTTTTTTAAATAGTTATTAAAATACTTTTTTTATTTAATTTATTCGATTTTCTTAAATTCAAAATTTAAATTTTAAATTTTATTATTTATTCTTGATAAAGGTTAGTAAAATCATTAATTTCCAAAAATATTAAATATAAGCTCTTTATGAAAAGAGAAAAAATAAGTAGACTGATTTATTGATATTTTTTTAGAAAGGTACAAGTAAAATAAGAATATTTAAAAAGATAATTAAGAATTCTTTTATTAATCAAAATTATTAATTTCTGATAAAATTAATTAATAAATAATCAAAGAAATATTAATGGAAAATAAAATTAAAAAAATGGAGTAATAGGTTAATTGCTTTAATAATCTGGAAGATGTATCCATAATTATTAGTTTTACTTATGATTATAAAATATTTTTTTTTAATAAAAAGTTAATGAAATCGAACTTGAAAACTCTAACTCTTATTGACTTACAGTTAAAGTATGAAATATATAAAAATATTTATATTTAATGATAAATATTTAAAAACAAACAATATTTTTTTATAAAAATAATTATTTTAAAACTTACTTTTTCTCTTTTTTATAAAATTAAGAAAAAATAAAATCTAATATATTTCATTCATTCATTCATTCAAACATTCTTTGATTCATTCATTTTTTATTCTAAAGTTAAATTTTTTTTTTATTATTTAAAATAAATAGAAATTGTACTCTTAGTAATGAATAAATTACTTAGCTTAATACTTCTTTAGTATAATGCCAAAAATTAGAATCTTTGATATTAAATCTTAAGTAATCATTTAACTTTTTTATTTTAAATAAAGTGATTTATTATATCAATCTAATATGTAGTAAAGAAAATATTTCTGATGATTAGATATGTTAAATATTTGCTGAATACTCTTACTTAAAGGATTTAATTGAAACTAATAATATTAGGTAAACAAACATATTTTTTATATTAATAAATAAAAAATATAGCCAAAAAATTGTTTTATAATAATGATATTATCTTAAAACACTAGATATTTATTTATTTATTTCTACCATTTAAAAGCTGAAAGTTTTTTTGAATCTTTCTTTCTTGTTAAATTAATTTCTGTCATTTTGCTAATTTAATAATTTAAAAAAAATAAAAATCGTTTTAATTATATTTTATTTAAACAGTAATGATTAAATATATGCCCAAATTTTGTCTTTCAAGAATATCTTTAACTTAGAACTTAAAGCTTGTAAAGAACCTAGGTAATATAGAATTTTTGATATTTATTTATTTATTTATTTATTTAAAAAATTTATTTTTTAATTTGAAAGATTAAATGAAATTTAAGCTTAAGGAAATATTCTATTAGAAGAAACTATGAGCAATCTAACTAATCTCAAAAGTTTGCAGCTAAATTTAGAGTATTCTTTTTTTAATTTATTTATTTATTTTTTAATATAATTAAGTTAGTTAGTTCATCTTTTAAAACTCATTAAATAATCCCTAAAAAATTTGTTTGTAAATTATCTTAACTAAATCAAAACACAAAAGTTTGCTTCATATAAATTTAAATGGCATCTTAGTTAGTCTATTTTTACTGTTGTTTTTATTTAGATAATAATTTAAAAATTATGTTAAATTTTATAATATTAAATTATTTTATATGAATAATATTTTATTAATATAATAAAAGTGGAAATTAAATTGAAGATGGAGATGCAATTTAGATTTAGAAAGTATTACATAAATGCAAAGCACTTACTAACTTAAATTTGTAGCTTTGGTAATTCTATTATTATTAATTATATTAAACATATTTAATTATATTTATTGTCTTCTTTTTAAAGTAAATAAATGATTTATTAAAAAAATTTTTTTGGAAAGGAATAATAAAATAGGTGATAGATAAATAGAGAGTATAGCTGAAGGTATTAATATTTGTGCTAATCTGACAACCTTAACTTTAAACGCATCGTAAATTTTATTGATTATCTATCTGTTATAAATTCAAAAATTCTTTTCAATATAATTTTATATTTAATTGTAAAATTTTTAAAAAGAGCAAATTTATTTGGAAATGAAGGTGCGTTTTCAATTAGTAAAGCATTAGGTGGTTGTTGTAGAATGTTGAATCATCTAGATATTAACCTCTCGTAATTAATTTTAATTTTTTTAAGGATTAATTTAAATTAATTAAACAATTTAATAAAAATTTTTATCTATTTAATCCTTAAACAATTTTTAAGTTGAGATAAATGTTTTTTTATATATTTTTATAAGCAAAAATTAAATTGGAGATGAAGGAGTATCTGCTATTTGCATTGTACTAGGTAGCTGTAGATTACTTATGAATCTAAAATTTGAGTTTTGGTAATTTTGAAATTTCATTTTTTGAAAATTTAGAAAGATTTTAACATCTTTTATATTTTATTATCATTGTTTAAAGAGTTTTAAATTAATTAATTATTTGATGATTATTATTTACAAGCATATTATTTTCTATAATAAAAGTAACAGTTAAATTGGAGATGAAGGAGCATATTCTTTTGGGAAAGCATTAAGTAGCTGTAAGTCACTTATTAATTTAAAAATTTCGCTTAGGTAATTTTAATTTTATGATTTTGAGAATTTAAAAAACTTAATTAAATTTTTATTTTTGAGATTACGTTGAAGTAATTAATTAATTAATAATTTTATTTATTTTTTTTGAAAAGGGAAAATAAAATCGGTGACAAAGGAGCATAAAATATTGGATTAGGTTTAAGTAACTGCACTCAACTTACCAGTTTAGCTTTTGACATAGCGTAAATCTATTTATTTCACTTTTTAATTACTTTTGAACAAAAATTATAAATAAATATATATGCTTTCTATTTAAAATAAAGTATTGATACAAACTTAATATTTATAAAATGTCTATAATTTTTATTAAACATGATTTTCATTTATAAAAGCCTAAATTAAATTGGGGATGAAGGAGCTTTTACTATCGGTACAGCACTTGGTAACTGCAAATTCCTAACTAACCTCAACTTTTAGATTTGGTAACCTTGAGTTTATAATTATTTATAGACAGTTTAAAAAGTTTAAATTACTATATTTAATAGTTTATGAATTAATTTATTTTGTTTGAAAAGGAAAAATAAAATTGGTGATAAAGGAGCATAAAATATTGGGTTAGGCTTGAGTAACTGCACTTAACTTACAAGTTTAGCATTTAGCATAGCGTAAATAAATTCCATTTATTATTTACTTTTAAAAAAGCTTATATGAATAATTTTTATTTAAAATCAAGTATATAAAATTAATATTTATAAAATGGTTATCATTTTTCATTAAACATAATTTTTAATTTATAAAAGTTAAAATTAAATTGCGGATTATGGAGCTTCTTCTATTGGTAAAGCATTTGGTAACTTCAAATTCCTTACTAATCTCAACTTTTAGATTTGGTAAAATTGATTTTTTATTTATTAATAAATAAATAGCAAAAAAAATTTAATTATTTTAAGGATTTTAAATTTTTAAATTTCATAGGAAATTTGAATAGTTAATGAATAAATTTATTTTGTTTGAAAAGGGATAATAAAATTGGTGGTGAGGGAGCATATAATATTGGATTAGGCTTGATTAATTGCTCTCAACTTACAAATTTAACATTCGGCATAAAGTAAATTTATTTTATTTATTAAAAAATTTCTATTATTTTTCATTAAACATGATTTTCATTTATAAAAGTAATAATTCTATTGGGGATAACGGAGCTTCTAGTATCGGTAGAGCACTTGGTAACTGCAAATTCCTAACTAATTTATACTTTTCGATTTGGTAACATTGATTTTATCTTGATTTATACTCAATTTAAAAATTTTTAATTATTTTATCTATTTTGATTTAAATTTCTTAGGAAATTTGAATAGTTAATGAATAAATTTATTTTGTTTGAAAAGGAATAATAAAATCTGTGATGAAGGAGCATAAAATATTGGATTAGGCTTGAGTAACTGCACTTAACTTACAAATTTAGTATTTGACATATCGTAAATCTATTTTATTTATTATTTACTTTTGAAAAAAATTATATGAATGCTATTTATTTAAAATCAAGTGTGTACAAAATTAATATTTATAAAGTGTCTATAATTAATTTATAATTAAACATGATTTTCATTTATAAAAGTGATAATTAAATTGGGGATGATGGAGCTTCTAGTATCGGTAGAGCACTTGGTAATTGTAAATTCCTAACCAATCTCACCTTTTCGATTTGGTAACACTGATTCTATATTGATTAATACACAATTTAAAAATTTTTAATTATTTTATCTATTTGATTTAAATTTGGTAGGAAATTTGAATAGTTAATGAATAAATTTATTTTGTTTGAAAAGGAATAATAAAATCTGTGATGAAGGAGCATAAAATATTGGATTAGGCTTGAGTAACTGCACTTAACTTACAAATTTAGTATTTGCCATATCGTAAATCTATTTTATTTATTATTTACTTTTGAAAAAAATTATATGAATGCTATTTATTTAAAATCAAGTGTACAAAATTAATATTTATAAAGTGTCTATAATTTATAATTAAACATGATTTTCATTTATAAAAGTGAAAATTAAATTGGGGATTATGGAGCTTCTAGTATCGGTAGAGCACTTGGTAACTGCAAATTCCTAACTAATTTATACTTTTCGATTTGGTAACATTGATTTTATCTTGATTTATACTCAATTTCAAAATTTTTAATTATTTTATCTATTTTGATTTAAATTTCTTTGGAAATTTGAATAGTTAAAGAATAAATTTATTTTGTTTGAAAAGGAATAATAAAATCTGTGATGAAGGAGCATAAAATATTGGATTAGGCTTGAGTAACTGCACTTAACTTACAAATTTAGTATTTGACATATCGTAAATCTATTTTATTTATTATTTACTTTTGAAAAAAATTATATGAATGCTATTTATTTAAAATCAAGTGTACAAAATTAATATTTATAAAGTGTCTATAATTTATAATTAAACATGATTTTCATTTATAAAAGTAAAAATTAAATTGGGGATGATGGAGCTTCTAGTATCGGTAGAGCACTTGGTAATTGTAAATTCCTAACCAATCTCACCTTTTCGATTTGGTAACATTGATTTTATCTTGATTTATACTCAATTTAAAAATTTTTAATTATTTTATCTATTTTGATTTAAATTTCTTTGGAAATTTGAATAGTTAAAGAATAAATTTATTTTGTTTGAAAAGGAATAATAAAATCTGTGATGAAGGAGCATAAAATATTGGATTAGGCTTGAGTAACTGCACTTAACTTACAAATTTAGTATTTGACATATCGTAAATCTATTTTATTTATTATTTACTTTTGAAAAAAATTATATGAATGCTATTTATTTAAAATCAAGTGTACAAAATTAATATTTATAAAGTGTCTATAATTTATAATTAAACATGATTTTCATTTATAAAAGTAAAAATTAAATTGGGGATGATGGAGCTTCTAGTATCGGTAGAGCACTTGGTAATTGCAAATTCCTAACTAATTTATAGTTTTTGATTTGGTAACACTGATTCTATTTTGATTAATACACAATTTAAAAATTTTTAATTATTTTATCTATTTTGATTTAAATTTCTTAGGAAATTTGAATAGTTAAAGAATAAATTTATTTTGTTTGAAAAGGAATAATAAAATCTGTGATGAAGGAGCATAAAATATTGGATTAGGCTTGAGTAACTGCACTTAACTTACAAATTTAGTATTTGACATATCGTAAATCTATTTTATTTATTATTTACTTTTGAAAAAAATTATATGAATGCTATTTATTTAAAATTAAGTGTGTACAAAATTAATATTTATAAAGTGTCTATAATTAATTTATAATTAAACATGATTTTCATTTATAAAAGTCAAAATTAAATTGGGGATGATGGAGCTTCTAGTATCGGTAGAGCACTTGGTAATTGCAAATTCCTAACTAATCTCGCCTTTTCGATTTGGTAACACTGATTCTATATTGATTTATACTCAATTTAAAAATTTTTAATTATTTTATCTATTTGATTTAAATTTGGTAGGAAATTTGAATAGTTAATGAATAAATTTATTTTTTTTGAAAAGGAATAACAAAATCGGTGATGAAGGAGCATAAAATATTGGATTAGGCTTGAGTAACTGCACTTAACTTACAAATTTAGTATTTATCATATCGTAAATCTATTTTATTTATTATTTACTTTTGAAAAAAATTATATGAATGCTATTTATTTAAAATCAAGTGTACAAAATTAATATTTATAAAGTTTCTATAATTTATAATTAAACATGATTTTCATTTATAAAAGTAAAAATTAAATTGGGGATGATGGAGCTTCTAGTATTGGTAGAGCACTTGGTAACTACAAATTCCTAACTAATCTCTAATTTTCGATTTTGTAAAATTGATTATTTATTGATTAAAAGACAATTTAAAAATTTTTAATTATTTTATCTATTTTGATTTAAATTTGGTAGGAGATTTGAATAGTTAATGAATTAATATATTTTATTTAAATAGTTAAAATAAAATTAGTGATAAAGGATTATAAAATATTGCATTAGAACTAAGTAACTGTACTTAACTTACATAGTTATTTCTTAAATTAGAGTAAATTTCATCTATTATTTTCTAAAAATAATTATTTTAAATTTTTTAGGAAGTATATTAAAATATTTTTATAAAAAAAGAAAATATGATAAGTTTCTAAAATCCAGTCAAATAATCAATTGTAAAAATATAAAGTTATTGTAATTTGTTTTTATTTATTGTTTAGAATTAAATAATTAAAAGCACAATTTTTTATTTATTTTATAAATTTAAAATGAAAAGAAAATTGATTAGATATGAAAACACAGAAAATAAAAGATTAGCTTAGAAAATAAAAAGATTAGTTAAATTAATTATAGATTGAATTAACTTCAATTAAAAATTAAATATTAATTATTAATATAATAGTACATATATATATAAAACAAAAAAAATTCGATAAAAAAGTTGTAAAATAAATTTTTTTTAAAAAATTTTTCAAAATTTAA